CCCCGTCCCTCTGTATGTTTCTTCCTCCCCCCTCCTTCCCAGTCTCTCTTACCCCTCTGCCTCTTTCTCCCTCTCTTCCACTGTTTTTCTCCCCCCTTTCCCTGTCTCTCTCTCCCCCACATCTCTCTTCCTCTCTGTCTCTTTCTCCCCCTCCCCCTCCCTATCTCTCTATTCCCCCTTCTTTCTCCCCGTGTCTCATTCTTCCCTCTCTGTCTCTTTCTCCCTCTCCCCATCTCTATATTCCCCCTCTTTCTCCCCCTGTGTCTCATTCTTCCCCCTCTGTCTCTTTCTCCCCCTCCCCATCTCCCTATTCCCCCTCTTTCTCCCCGTGTCTCATTCTTCCCTCTCTGTCTCTTTCTCCCCCTCCCCATCTCTCTATTCCCCTCTTTCTCCCCGTGTCTCATTCTTCCCTCTCTGTCTCCCCCTCCCCATCTCTCTATTCCCCCTGTGTCTCATTCTTCCCTCTCTGTCTCTTTCTCCCCCTCCCCATCTCTCTATTCCCCCTCTTTCTCCCCGTGTCTCATTCTTCCCTCTCTGTCTCTGTCTCCCCCTGTGTCTCATTCTTCCCTCTCTTTCTCCCCATCTCTCTATTGCCCCCTCTTTGTCCCCCTTCCCCATCTCTCTGTCCCCCCTCTTTCTCCCCTTGCCCATCTCTCTATTCCTCCTCTTTCTCCCCCCTGTCTCATTCTTCCTCTCTGTCTCTTTCTCCCCTCCCCATCTCTCTATTCCTCTTTCTCCCCTGTGTCTCATTCTTCCCTCTCTGTCTCTTTCTCCCCTCTCCCCCATCTCTTCTCTATTCCCCCTCTTTCACCCCTGTGTCTCATTCTTCGCCCTCTGTCTTTCTCCCCCCTCCCCATCTCTCTATTCCCTCTTTCTCCCCCTGTGTCTCATTCTTCCCTCTCTGTCTCCCCCAGCGAGGAACGTGGCCGGCCCCTTCAGAGTGTGCCACCGGACCGGCCACCCGGTGTCACCTACTTGCGTAGCCCCGGTGGGCCAATCTGGCCCTGCTGCCGGGCCCCCTGATGGCGGGCCCCCCTCCCGGCCGGGCCCGTGGACCATGTCCGAAGTGCCCGACCGGTCAGTCCGCCCCTGCACATCCCTACTCCTCATTGATTCAATGCATCGCTGTGAGGAGATGCTGATTGGCGCAAGGTGGAATTTTGCCAGGCATGTGCAATAGCCTTTCTAGTTCTTTCCATGGAAAGGCGAAGCAGGATGAGCCGCAGGGATACCTGCGCTGGAAATAAGGGCAGGACAATGTTTGTATTCCTGACACTATAGTGTTCCTTTCAGCAAACTAAAGAACATTCTGGTCACTATAACAACTGCATCTAAATAAGGATGTTATGGCGCCAGGAGGCCCCTGGGCGTTCTCTTTACTTTAAGGGATTAAACAGCTCTCGAATGGTTGAACCCCAAAGGCGTTTCAGGAAGCACAGATTGCAGCTGGGCAGGGCTGTCATTGATTGGCTAGAGAGGTCACCTGATGCTCTAAGCCAATCAGTAACTCTTTGCCATACCCAGCCTGCGGCGCCATTATGCAGCGGCACTCTGACCTTTCTGAAACTCAGTTTCAGAAGTTGGATCCTGCTGGGGGACCTAAAGATCTAGGATAGGTTTTAACTCATTAAGTTAACAGAGCGCCCAGGGGCCTACGGGCATCACAACAACTTCATTTAGGTTAAGTTGTTATGGTGAAAAGTGTTCCTTTAAAATTAACCAATATGTCTACAACTCACATAATCAAAAAAGTAAATACATTGATAGTTTTGTTTTTGGGCTGCTTTAAAAATAAATACATGGAAAAGAACAGAAAAAAAAAAACGGGAAAAAACTTTTGATTAAAAATAAATAAATCTAAAAGGTATCCGCCCACACGAGGCTTACCTTGGGCCAGGGAGGGGGGATCCTACCCCTGATGGTCAGGTGGGACTGGCCAGACAGGACCTGGAGGCAGGAGATTCACTGAAGACCACTGGAGAGTCTGGGAGCAGTGGAAGTCACACCCCCTCTTCTGACATCATCAGAGGAGGCTGGCTGACTTCACTGCCAGTTTCCTGTTCTATGCTGGCTGCAGGGAGAGCAAGGTGAGTTAAAAAATCCAAGTCCCCAGCCAGAGTCAGGGGATTCAGATTTTTGCGCCTCCCCCTGCTCTGGTGCCCTAAGGCGGCCGCCTGTGCCGCCTTATGCACGCGCCAGCCCTGTCTTCCAACATAGAATTCCTGTCCTTTTATGAACTATTTATAATGTAATTTTCCACAGGAATACACTAGGTGTCACTGCATAGTAAAGAAAATGTGTTTGCCTTCATGTAAACACTGAGCTATATGTTGGCTATTTTGCATCTTACTTACCATTTTACTGACTTTTGACTTGCTGGGCTTTACCCATGTGACCTCATGTTCTCAACCCCTGACCCAATGATATGTGATGCCCAATTCAACACCAAACTCCTACAGATTGACATATCTTGCAAAAAAAGCAATCACTTTAAAGAGGCTTGACTTCACCCATTGATGCTGTTAAGTAAGGAGAACTCTAGACGACAAGACAATGTGCAGACCTGTCTTTTTAAGGTGTTTGGAATCTGCCAGCCAAATAGAAATTCAAAAAGTGATTAAAAAATCTTGACAGAGCAAATAAAACATGTCTGAGGGGTCTGTACTTAAGCAATGAGGGTACTTAGTAGCTACCATTAGCTCTTCTGTGCTTAGCCACAAAGCGCAGGGCTAGTTCACTGGATGAGAATGTCGGGCAGGCGGATACATAGGGAGCAGCCTCATGGGGTTTGATGGAGCAGAGGCCTGTGGGTAAGTATCGGGTAGGCTTTGCAGCAGACGTGCAAGCCTTGGGTTAGGTGCAGGACAGACCGCGCTGTTTGATCAGCGGGAAGCGTCGCAAGGCATTTTGGGATATAAGGGCGCCTAAAAAATTTACCTCAACTTGTGCCAGACAATTAGAAAGGTTAGCTGCTTTAAACTATATTTGAGCTGCAGCCCCCACCCCCTCTCCCCTTCATTTATGACTTTATGTCGTGATCTTCTAATGTGATATCTCACCCTCCTGGACATCACAGGAGGGTAGATTGGTGTATTTGGTTTTAATATATATTTATGGCTCCTGGCTTTAGGGGGCAGAGCCTGGAAAGGGTTAATGGTTTATGTTGGTTTGGGTTAAAAGTTATGGTTTTATTATAATTAAGGATGTTGATTTTTTAAATTGGAATTGTGAAATCCATAATAAAGGTTCACAGCCATTCTCCAAATGTTACAGTTTTAATCAAAATAAACAATTGAATGAAGGAGTTGTTTGGTGTTTTATTATATATCATTAAAGAATGCAACATTCAAACCCCATGTCAATTGACTTTCAGCTAAGTAGTAAGCCTTTTGAAAATTGTTTGACTACTTACAATGAGGGGTGCCAGGGCCTTTCTGGCACATATCCACTACAGCACGTGAAGTCTCTTCCCGGTTTCCTCCAACTATGGTTGACATTGGATCCACATAAATACTCAACATATGCACTACCATTATATTCACTAAAACACACATACATACGCATATAGTGAGATTGCTTATCAACGTGTTGTGTTCTGTAAAGTGGTGCAAATATGTAAAAGGGGAGGAGTCCCCAATGAAAAGTGCATGCTGGTTTCGCTGGTTACCATGTTGATTACTCCCATAGTTATATTGGAATGAGAACGTAACGTAAATACACAATAACATACATACATACATACATACATAATGACCTTGCACACTCACCTACAGAGAAATACCAACATATGCACACAGGAAATCTGACACACACCCATACCAAAAATACACACATGAAGAAACACTGACCCCACATACAAACACACCAGCATAAAAACACGCAGTCATTACACACACTGGAAAACCAATTTATATACATGCAGACATTTTACACATACAGAAACACTGACGATATACAGTGCAGTGAGAAACAATCATATACATTTACACTATTTCTACACCTAAAACCCCCACATGCACCAACAGTGCGCAATCTATAGAAATTGTTCTGTTTCTTCATCCATCCAAAGACATTATTATCACACTTTGCTAACCTGACACGGTGTGTTTGTCAGTGATAGACTGTATGTCTTACTATTAATAATTAAATCATCTAACAGGTATTCACTAAAGTGAGAGCCCAAAATTGAATTTCCAATTTAAGGTAAAAGCAGCCGAACTGGAAACATTCTCCAATTCAGCTTTGCTTTCAGTTCGGCTACTCTGGCCTGGAATGAGACTGTCTGTCGGTGCTCGGGCTGTGACCCCATCCTGACTGTCTGTGCTCGGTCTGTGATCCTGTCTGTGTCTGTCTGTCTGTGCTCGGGCTGTGATCCTGTCTGTGTCTGTGCTCGGGCTGTGATCCTGTCTGTGTCTGTCTGTCTGTGCTCGGGCTGTGATCCTGTCTGTGTCTGTCGGTGCTCGGTCTGTGATCCTGTCTGTCTGTGCTCGGGCTGTGATCCTGTCTGTGTCTGTCGGTGCTCGGGCTGTGATCCTGTCTGTGTCTGTCTGTCTGTCTGTGCTCGGGCTGTGATCCTGTCTGTGTCTGGCTGTGATCCTGTCTGTGCTCGGTCTGTGATCCTGTGTGTCTGTGATCCTGTCTGTGTCTGTCTGTCTGTGCTCGGTCTGTGACCCCATCCTGTCTGTGATCCTGTATGTGTCTGTCTGTCTGTCTGTGCTCGGTCTGTGACCCCATCCTGTCTGTCTGACTGTCTGTGCTCGGTCTGTGACCCTGTCTGTGTCTTTCTGTCTGTGCTCGGTCTGTGATCCTGTCTGTGTCTGACTGTCTGTGCTCTGTCTGTGATCCTGTCTGTGTCTGTCTGTGCTCGGTCTGTGATCCTGTCTGTGTCTGTCTGTGCTCTGTCTGTGTCTGTCTGTGCTCGGTCTGTGATCCTGTCTGTCTGTCTGTGCTGGGGCTGTGACCCCATCCTGTGTGTCGGTGCTCGGTCTGGGAGGAGGAGGCCGGCCCGGGCTGTCAGAGAAGGAGGAGGAGGCGGAGGCCGTCCCGGGGAGGAGCCAGGGTTGCGGCCAGGGCTGGCTGTGTGCTCTCCCCAGCCCAGATTAGATGATCGTGGAGGCAGCGGCGGGTCGTGCTGCTCCCCGGGTGTCACCATGTCGCTGCGGGCCCGCGCCCTCTATGACTTCCGAGCGGAGAACCCGGGGGAGGTGTCCCTGCGGGAGGCCGAGGTGCTCAGCCTGTGCAGCGAGCAGGACATCGAGGGCTGGCTGGAGGGGGTGAACAGCCGGGGGGAGCGCGGTCTGTTCCCGGCTTCCTACGTGGAGGTGATCCGCAGCGAGCCGGCCTCCCCCCCTCCGCCGCCCCCGCCACCCCCGGCCCCGGACTCCCGCTACTCCAACCTGCCCGCCGGGGGGTACTCCCCGCCGCAGCCCTCCGCCCAGGCTCCTCCCCAGCTGGCCTTCTCCTTCCCCGCGGGAGCCGTGCAGCCCCGGCCGAGCGCCCTCCACTACCAGCAGAGCCAGCCCAGCGACGACGACTGGGACGACGAGTGGGATGACAGCAGCTCCACGGCGGCCGACGAGCCCGGGGGGGCTCCCACTCCCGGTTACTATGGCGGCGGCGGTTTCCATGACTACGACGGGTCCAGCTCGCGCTACCGAATGTCCACCCGCTCCGAGCTGCCCCCGGGCTCCTACTCCACCACCGCCTCCTCCGCCTCCCAGGCCGCCAAGGGCTCGGCCACCGTCAGCCGCAACCTCAACCGCTTCTCCGCCTTCGTCAAGACCGGCGGCGAGGCGTTCGTGCTGGGCGAGGCGGCCGGGTTCGTGCGGGACGGGGACAAGCTGTGCGTGGTGCAGGGCCCGCACGGGCCGGAGTGGCAGGAGAACCCGTACCCGTTCGGCTGCTCCATCGACGAGCCGACCAAGCAGACCAAGTTCAAGGGGATGAAGAGCTACATCTCGTACCGGCTGCTCCCCAGCCACACCGGCCTGCAGGTCTACCGCCGGTACAAGCACTTCGACTGGCTCTACACCCGCCTGCTGGAGAAATTCCCGGTCATATCGGTACCCCGCATCCCCGAGAAACAGGCCACCGGCCGCTTCGAGGAGGACTTCATCTCCAAGCGGAGGAAGGGTCTGATCTGGTGGATGGACCACATGTGCAGCCACCCGGTGCTCTCACGGTGCGACGCCTTCCAGCACTTCCTCACCTGCACCGACGAGAAGGCCTGGAAACAGGGCAAGAGGAAATGCGAGAAGGATGACATGGTTGGAGCCAACTTCTTCCTCACCCTCAGCACCCCACCAGGGGCCCCAGTGCTGGACCCCCACGATGTGGAAGGCAAGCTGGACTCCTTCAAGGCGTTCGCCAAGAGGATGGATGAGGGAGTCCTTCAGCTCAACCAGACAGCCGGAGAGTTTGCCCGAAAACAAGCTTCAGGCTTCAAGAAGGAGTACCAGAAGGTGGGCATGGCCTTCAAAGGCTTGGGACAAGCTTTCGAGATAGACCAGCAGCCCTTCTCGGTGGGATTCAACCGGGCTATGGCCTTCACTGGGGATGCCTATGATGCTATTGGGGAAATGTTTGCAGAGCAGCCTCGACAGGACCTGGATCCCATCATGGACCTGCTGGCAGTCTACCAGGGCCACCTGGCCAACTTCCCAGACATCATCCACGTCCAGAGAGGTAACCACAAAAAAAGGGGGTGCTCTGGTGTGTTGGGGGTTGCTGTCACTGAGATGCAGGATACTAGGGCTACAGGGTATGACGGTTTCTCATAAATTAGATTAAGATATGTGCATTATTAATACATTACAACATTCCATTATTGTAACAATTGAATATTGTGGACCCAGGATGTAATTACTTGGGAAGACCCCATGTATGTAGGAGGTGAAAGGTAGACAAATGTGTAGAAAACACTTCGCCTTAATTCGATTCATTCTCACTCAATATGTAACTGTAAAACCACAAATCCTCTAGCAATCTTTTGATACTTTTACTGCAATTATAATAGACGAAAACTTCTTTCATGATGGTAACAAAACAAGCTTGATCTTTGTGTTTGAAATAGCAATGCCTATTTGTAATGCCTTCTAACATAGTTTCAGATTATGTCAGAGATCACTCAGTTGGAGGGGGTTTACAGTGACACCAATCTGAACTTTGCAATGGAATTAGAGCATAATATCTAGTCAATTCTTCTGGCAGTCTTAACGTCTTATTGTTATGTGTTTGTAGGAACACCTGATATTGAGCTATTCAGAATAGGTATTCAAAGAAATTAGGTATTCTATAAGATATATGTATAACTATCTGTGCTTTCTATTTTGTGGGCTAGTATTTCCTTAAAATTACAAATGTCTTGGAACAATGCTTTGAATCTTTTATGCTATTGCCTTGGTCTAAATATTTAAATAAAAAATATATATATTTTATGGCACTGCTTACACACATCATACAAACTACATAATGATCTCTAATAGTTTTGTCAGCATCTGTGCGCATGCAAACCAATGTTTCATTCATTCATTCATTCATTCATTCGTACACTTGGGGATACTGATTTTGCCTTTTTCCCATAGGCCAACACTGGGCAGGGGTGTATGTAGTATGCACAGCATCTCATTGGAAATACAAGGCCCATTATTGACTGCATCACTCTTGTCTGCATAAACCAAATCAAAGTAGAGATACTCCTGTCTAAATTTACATTTTTATGTGGCTGCTTTTTTCTTTTCTATCTCGTATAGTGGTTAACTTTTTTCATTTTTCAAAGAACAAAAGTTATGTACATTACATTACCTGCATAGGTCACCAATGTTAAACAATGTTCATTAGGCTTTCAAAGCTCTAACAAATGTTTTATGGACTCGCTTAAGCAGCAGTCCAGACAAAAATTATGAACCATTGATTCAGGGATTTTTTTCTTTAAATACAAGGAAGAAAAAGATTGCACAGGATGTATATGTGCTTTACTCAAGCATACCCTGATGCTTACCAAACGTATGGTTGCAAAACATTTTAACCTATTAAATGGAAAGAAGTGTGTATTAAATGAGGAAATGATACAGGAAATTAATTCTATATTTTAAAGGAATGTTCTCAATTTTGACTTTCCTTGTTGGCAATTTTACATTGCGAAATCTCCAATGACTCACTGTACAAAACTTTCTTGAGTTGCAATACTTAAAGTATAATATCTCGAAAGCTTACAATGTATAACATCCCAGCACACTGAAGACATTTTGCCAAATCTTAGCACCCTAGATATTAATGTGCCTTTCACGTGATACTCAGCCTGCCAATTGTTTTTGGCTTGCTGAACATGATGGGAAATTTATTTTTCAAACATCTGGGATGCTGGAGTGATTCATCACCATTGTAAAGTGAGCATATGAGGTGTCAAGTATTCAAAATGAAGTACAAAGAGCTGAGAGATTTATGAAAGTGTCTTATTCTGAAAAGTGGTACAAAGTTTGAAGTGGAATCACCAGTGGAATGTGCTTTTGGTTTCCATGGTGATAACACCGCTTTTCTTATACTTTAATAAATCTCTTCCAATGCGACTTCTAGGTAATACATTGCATGCTAGTATTATCCAATCATTTTGTTTACTGCATAAATAAGGCTTTTCTTGGTAATCTCTGGACACACTTTCTTGAAATAAGCAATCTGATTTTTTTTTTTTTTCAGTAGGGGGTTTGTGAGAGATTCAGCACTTGGTTGTAGTTTTGTTTATGGGGGAACCTGAAATATTGATATATTTTTTTTTTTTTTGGCTCTTTATATTTCAATATCCTAATAAAGGCTTATACCCCCTATACGAATATTTACTTTTAAGGAACTTCTTTTGGTGGAGTGGGAGTCCGCAAACTTTAAGTGGGCGGTCGTCCCATCCTGCTTTATTTTTCCTCTATACCAAAGGCTTATACCATATTTATGGATACTTAATTCATTTAGAGGTTCTCGTTTATGGAGGAGGGATTCCCCACATATTTGTGAGGAGTTATCCTGACTCAATTTAGTAGTTTTTGTTCAATTTACTTTGGGTGATGCCCTTAAGTTCCTCTGTAACCGATTAGGAGGCACCAGTGCTGACTAGTGTAGCCCTGTTGCCTCTTCTTGTGTGGCTATTAAATAAATGTTAACTCAAATCTAGAGGTTAGACTTTCCTTCCGTGAGATTACTAGTGTGGCTAAAGTGCTTTAGTTTGGAGCGTTCCTTTAAACTACACAAAGTACATCACGTTAAATGGTACACTGCCACCACACACTGAAATTATGTAATATTTATATTCACCTTCAGTGTGTGATTATAAATATTATCTATGTTCAGGTTATTCTGGTGTCAAGTTAAGTTTGTATTTTACTTATTTATGCTTTGGGTGTAATATAATAAATTACTACTCCTTGTAATTAAATGAGATGCACAGACTGTAGTGTAAAGGAGAATCATAATCATGCAGGTTTTTGTTACAATGGAAAAAGTGTTAATTTGTGTGTGCATGTATTCATCAAATCTTATTTTTCTTTTTTACCTTCACTAATGAAGGCCCTTATTTGGGTAAACCTCTTCATCAAATCATGAGGCAATACTGAAACTCCAATTATGCTGTAAGCCAATGTTTAATCTATTTATGGAGCACTTTTCTACCCCAAGAGGATGTCAAGCACTTAGTTAAAACTTCATGACCTGCTGACATAGCTGTATCATACAAAGGAGTGTAGTATGGATGCCATATGGAATAGTCTGTAAGCCAATAAGCCAAAGGGTAGTTTATCTTATGTGACTGACAATTCTGTGTGAAAATATCTTGACATTGCCTTGTCTATTTCAGAATATGGTATTTTAGTTAAATAAAAATGTGATCATTTAACGCTGCAAAATGGTCTTGTGATGCTAAGATTTTTTTCTGTGACAAGCAGGCGATGTGGTCAAAATGTGGCGGAAACATTCTAGCCTTGTGTTCATGATTCAGAGTGGTAGTGTAGTAAATGTTTTTTAGCACACATTGGGTCTCTTAATCCTACCTGAGCTCTGTATGAATGCTACAACCTTACCAAAAGTATTGTTGTTGTCAACACATTTTTATGGCCACATTCCACCTTATGGCTACCTATGGCTGAATAATGTGTTTTGTCACAAAGCACGTCATCTCAAACTGATTCCAAAAGTGGTAGAATCCACTATATTCAAATGAGCTCAGCAGTGACCTGATCACTATCCAGTAGGACATTGGGATATAATGACATGGGAGATTTATAGCATAGTTACATAGCTACATAGCTGTAAAGAGACTTGCGTCCATCAAGTTCAGCCTACCTCACGTTTGTTTTTTGCTGTTGATCCAAAAGAAGGGAAAAAAACAGTTTGAAGCACAATTTTGCAACAAGCTAGGACAAAAATTTCTTCTTGACCCCAGAATGGCAGTCAGATTTATCCTTGGATCAAGCATTTATTACCCTACATTGAAAGATTATATCCTTGAATATTCTGTTCTTGCAAGTATCCATCTAGTAGCCGTTTGAACATCTGTATGGACTCTGATAAAACCACTTCTTCAGGCAGAGAATTCCACATCTTGATTGTTCTTACAGTAAAAAAAAAACCTTTCCTTTGTCTTAGACGAAATCTTCTTTCTTCCAGTCTAAACGCATGGCCTCGTGTCCTATGTAAAATCCGGTTTGTGAATAGATTTCCACACAATGGTTTGAATGTACAGCTGACATTTGCAACAGTGAATTGATGCTGTCATGACAACCTGGATCTTAATTTCTAAGTAAGGAAATAAAACTAATATTTTTTTCATTCTCCCCCTCCCCCCCTATAAAAACATGTTTGTATTCCTAAAGTTATAGTGTATCTTGAATACGTTTCAGTCCGTAGTCCTTCACAATACTAATAGAAATATGCAAAAATTAGTTTTAGGTGATTCGTCAGAAAATGTTTTTTGTTTGCGGTCATCAAATAAATCAAACAAAGTCAGAATCCTCTGCATTTAGCAGGAACTGTTAGTTTAGCATGATTTGTGTTGATGTTGATAACTTCTAATGACATGGTTTAGCATTAATTCCAAAATGCTTTCCCTTTGACTCCAACAACTTTAATTGTTAAGCTCACTGCTCTGTAATTTCAGGGTAGAGATTTTGTTCCTTTGTTAATTATGGGCACCATGTCATTTTCTCCAATCCTCTGATATGATTCCTGCAAAAAAATAAATCCTGTATAATGCAAAACATTGGTATTGCTATTTTTAATCTAAGCTCCCAAAGTACTAGTGATTATATACCACCTGGCCCTTGGGCTTTGTTTATCAACTTTATTTACTCCATTGCCCATGGCACTTTGCTGTCACCCCTATCCTCAGTACTGTAAGCAGGACACTTTGTTCCAATTAATGTCCTGCTTACTTAGCTTTTGGCTCTCCATCTAACCCCACAGTTTTACATTATGTAGGCCATTCCATTTTGAAATTGAATATTTAGTGTAGAGGAACACTATAGGGTCTGGAACACAAACATGTATTCCTGTCCCCTGAGTGTTAAAATCACCATCTATCCCTCCTGGCCTCCCCTTGCCCCCTAAACACTGCAAATCTTACCTTTATTCCAGTCTGCAGCTGCTGGCTCTGCCCCTGATCTGCCTGCTTGGCTGACATTATCATAAGTGGTGTTATGAGCCAATCACAATGCTTTCACATAGGAAAGCATTGGATTGGCTGAGCTTGTCAAGAAGGCAGATCAGGGGCAAAGTCAGCACAAGCCAAACACAGCCCTGGGCAATTGGCATATCTTCATAGAAATGCATTGAATTAATGCATCTCTATGAGGAATGTTCAGTGTCTCCATGCAGTTGGTGGAGACCCTAAATGGCAGTAGTGCACACTGTGCAGCACTGACCCAGGAAGCACCTCTAGCAGCCATATGATGAGTGGCCAGTGGATATATCCCTAGGCTGTAATGTAAACATTGCATTTTCCCTGAAAATAAAGTGTTTACTGCAAAAAGCATTAAGGGAATGATTATACTCACCAGAACAAATACAATAAGCTGTAGTTATTCTGGTGACTATAGTGTCCCTTTAACAAATTGATTCACAGCATATACCCGAATTAGTCTTTAAAGGATTGATCCTCCCTCAGCTGCCATGTCTGTCACCCATCTTTCTATGGGTTCCTTAAATGGCTTATATTCTGCCACATCACTAGTTGTAGCTAAACTCTGGTCAGTGAGCAGCATAGCAATTTTAAGATTTTCACTCTCTCAGTGTTGCAATTTGCTTCTCCAGATCTCAAATCTGAACTTCCAGCGCAGCCATTCACTCACACTTTATGCAGAAGTAATACTTCTAAAACACCAACAAAGTTTGCAGTGCTGTACAATAGGTGGACTAACAGACTAGTATCTGCAACAGGATTAGTTAGACACATTGGAACTGAGTGTAGAATATAATTGTGTAAAACAAAATTTACCTGCTTTTCTCGAACTGTTCAAAATATTCTACCTTGCAATATACACCTTGAGTAAGCTATTGTGATCAAGCTGTTTAAATAGGTGCTTGGTTAGAAAGCGTGCACAGAGAAAAAGAAAAGGTTTAAACCATTACTTATGGGAAATTGTCAGCAGCACTATAGAAAGTGTGCCGTTTACTTCCTGGTCTGTTTAGAGCGTATTGCAAATCCTACTTAGACTGCAGTTTCTAAAGTGAACGTTTAAAGAAAAAAAAATGTATATTAATTGAGTGACTTGCAAGCTCTCAGTTTACATTGAGGTTTAACAGCGGCAACATTTGATAGGTCCTTATTGAAAGGTGAACAAACAGTATTGCAAAGGTGTGTTTTTTGTTTTTTTTTGTATTCTAAATGTATAAAAAAACATTACCAATGGTGATGTTTACCGATTACCTAACCATTTTTGTGATTTATCCCCACCCCCCCAACCCTTTTAAAAGTAGTAAACGCCAAAGTGACATTTGTCATTCTGAACAGAGCTTCGGGCTGCCAAAGTCTTGTGTGCCTGGGGTATAACTTGCCCCCAGCACATGTTCAAATCTCTCTGAATTTGAAGCGTTTGATGCAGAAATGTTGCACCTATAGACTCCTACCACTATAACCAATTAAAATCACTGATGTGGTGGTGATGGATGGAGTAACCCTTACTACGGACCCCTAAATCTACTTCCATAATAAATTAGAGTCAGACAGTTGATCTTCCTTTTCCATAATTCATTGAGTCGACCCAAAAAGGAGATATTATACAATCTCAAGACAAGCGTTTAGTGCTTCAGCTGCTGATGTCTGGGATTTGTTTAAATCTCACAACCACAAGATTGATTTGTGGAGGAATCAACTCAGCCTTCTGTTTACAGATAGTGATAACCATTCATTTGGTACCTAAGGCTTTTTGGAACAAGGAGTTTCGAAGTTTGGTATATCCTTCATGGTAGAAAAGTTGTGATCAGTCTGGATCTGCCTGACAAGGGTGATCAGGTATCTTTGGGAGAACTTTTGTGACTGCGCTATGTGTGAAAGTATGCTTTCTGTCAGAGAGACTGTAGAAGTTTGTCTGTAATACAGTAGACCATCTGTGACCAGATTTTCTTCAAAATGCATAGAAACACCACAGGTTTTACAGCTTCTTTCGTTTTTTGTGTGACTATTTTGCTAAGAAGTTGAGGGCATTGATTGACTGCATGTGTCAGTTGATGTTTTCAGCCATTGTCTTCCAAATTTTGGGAAAAATTACTTTGCTAACCTGTGAGGGAGGGACTGGGGTTCAGTTCTTTGGAGATCCCCAAGTTGCTCAGATAGTTTGACACAGAAATACAACATAGCACCTGCAGTCTCATAGCACCATACCAACTACAACTTTGAGTGCCCTTTATAAAGGTCTAAAAATCACCATAAAAACCAATAGAATAATAAAAAGCTATTAATTTGTTTCTGTGCTGGTTGCAAACATTAAAATACTTCAATTTTAATTTATTTAATCTATAAATCTGTCATTGGTTTTTTATGACAAACTCCATTAAATATAATTCATTAGAGGAATATGCAAATTGAAAGTAGTGGTTTAAAGTGTGCATTACAGTTTGAGAAACACTGTCTTATTTATGTTTGCATCCTTGTGATGGCTGAATTGTGCAATTTTGAAAATAATTCTGACACATGCAAATTACTTTTTACTTTGAGTAATTGCAGCTCATAGCTATTGTTTGATGATCTGTTAATGACTTTGCAGTTTCTTTGTCTTTGTGGAAAAGCTGTGCTTTTTATGCAGCTTTGATTGGAGCCAGAATTGTCCAGCATGAGTCCTGTTTCTAAACGGACGGATAAAGGTTCTAGTGCAACACTAACGGACTACAAAATACTCACACAGGACACGATTCATACAAGCTAATTATTACATATAGAATAGAGGAACAGTGACAAATGACACAGGCTGAAACTTGAACTATCTGACAGCCTATCAGAGCAGCTCATAAAATAAAAACCTAATAAAACAAAACATATTGGTGCAATTAAAACAAAAGAGAATTAAAATTGTTATAAAGAACACATGCTGATAACATTCCTTTGATCTCTACAAAGTAATAAAATAAAATGTTGTTCCTTGTCCCAGTGTTTATGATATATTTGTATTTAATGTATACAAGGAATGGACTACTCAGTCTTCTAAAAATCATTAAATTGTGGGGAGGACAGATATTTAACTGTAGTAGAATATATGTAGAAATAACTGGACATTGCTATTTACATTAAGGGGTTAATCCAACTCTTTATTGTAGTATGAAATATTGGGCATTAATTTCTAGGTCTCCCACTGTTATAGGTTTAAAAAGGGGGGGGGAAAAGGTAAAAAGGTTTGTGCAATCCAGTGCCTGGCAAAGCTTCCCTGGTTACTTTCCACGCACTGTGTGACTTCACTCCTTTCCTCTAAGGTCCAATCATATGCTTCTCATATAGAACCGCTCAGAGCATGCGCGCACCCTGAGCCAGGGAGGTGAGGGAGTAGGGGTGGACACAAGAGGGAGGAAAAAATAAAATAATTGTCAATAGGAGGAGGTAAGGAGGGGACAATTTAGCTTCCCGCTTGCAGGCAAACGCAGAACTTAGTCGCCAGAGTGCAATGGGCTTTTTTGCGCAAAGTTAATATTGGGACGGCTGCCTAAGTCATGATTACCTTTGATGTAACTAGCCCCCAGCAAGTGCAAATATCTCTGTATGTGCAAAAAGTCTTAACATACAAATCAAGATCATTATGACCACTTCTAAAAACAGAGGTAGACATGGTGGTTTGCGTAACTCGAGTAGTTAAAAACTTTATAGAACAAGGAGAAATCTGCCACTTCTTCAGAATAGTTTCCCAGAAATATGTATAGGGTGGAGTGAACACAAGTTCCTATATAGAGATATGCCGGGAAATATAAAATTAACTGTTACTCACAACAAAATGAATGCGTTGGTTCGTGACTTCACTGATATTAACTTAAAAAAAAAAAAAAGAGGTTACTCTACAGAAAGTCTGCTTGTCATGCAACTTTTAGGCCTAGGTCATAGCATAGTAATTGCATTTTTGAGCCCTGTTTGAAACCTCTGCAGTTAGTGCCAAATATCACTTAAACCTTAGAGCCAAATGTAAATTTTGAGATGTATATGTGAATGGTGAAAGTTAATCATACAAAAATAACGCCATTGATTGGATTTCTGAGATGGTGGTGGGTGGGATTTACACTCCTGGATAAGCAGCAGTTTGTCAGGAGTGTGAAACCTGTGTGCAATTAAGAGCCTATGTGTTGATTTATTTATTTTTATTGGGTTGGTAACAAAAGCTTGGGAGGACATTATAAACATCATATGTTGCATTTAGAATCTCCAAATATTTTATAATTTGCTAACCCACTTGACGGTTATTCACAAACTGGTCATTTGAAATGAAAACAGCTAAGTTGGAAATCAAAATATCTGTGGAGACTTTAGGCAGGGATAGGCAACTTTCAGCACTCCAGGTGTTGTGGACTACATGTCCCTTCATGCTAGCAAAGCATCAACGGAGATGTTGCACAATATCTGGAGTGCCTAAGGTTCCCTACCCTCTGCTTACGGGTATGTTGGTTTAGAATTGGCAATTCTCTGGTTTATTTCCAGTTTCATGCTTGTGAGAAATACTGCATGCATGGAATTGTAAATATTTTGCTAATATATAATTATAGAATGTTCTACACTGTAATGATGCAATTCTAGTATAGCCGTGAAATAAAAAAATAAAGATTCATAAAGAAAAAAGGCTGGCATCAAACTCGAACATCCACCTGCACATCAACAGAGAATGTTTAGTTGTTGCTGCTGGGAGTAGATTATACTAAAAGTGAAACATTTATATATCTAGCATACAGCTGCTATATGAAGTTGTAAGTGTGATTGGTGGCAGTGATGTATTAATTATATTGTGTATTAGACAATTACAGATAAGAAGGCACATTCAATTAGTGTACAAATAATGAGGCAGCTGTGTTTGTACATCACATGGTGATGATTACTTTTCTCTGTTTGTTTAGATCTCATAGATTGTAAGCTAGCTTCAGCACGGCCTTCTTCACCTCTTGTTCATATTCTGTATGTCAGTTACTTGTTGCCAAAACCTCCTTTTCTATCATTTCAAAGACCTGTCAAATAAACGACAGTACTAGGTTTCAGTAACTATCACTATGAATTTACAGTTTAAACAAAAGATATACAAGAAACAAAGTAGCTTATCTTAGTCAGAAGACTTTCACGAAGGCCTTGTTGGCCAAGAAAAGTTAACATTGTGTAAATATGCCTCTAAATCTGCATCCTCTTTACCCTATTCCCTTTTATATAACAATACGTACATTTGTGTAGTAGCTGCATGATGGGCAAACCCTCCTATCAGTCTCAGAGATAGAATTCAAGGCACCGCATCCTATCCATTATTCACCATGGATTTTTTGGTTCACCATTAGGAATTCACCTAAGATAACTTGTCATGTGTTTTATCTCATTTGGTTTTTTATTTTATTGCAATACAAGGCAAACTGTATTAGAATAACCTCTATCTTCAAGGGAAACTATAGTCACCAAAACAACTTTAGCTTAATTAATCAGTTTTTGTGTATAGAACATGCCCCTGTAGCCTCACTCCTCAATTCTCTGCCATTTAGGAGTTAAATCACTTTGTTTATAAACACTAGTCACACCTCCCTGCATGTGACTTGCACAGCCTCCCTAAACACTTTCTGTAAAGAGTCATCTAAAGTTTATCCTTCCTTTATTGCAAATTCTGTTTAAATTAGATTTTTTTTTTTTTTTTATCCCCTGCTATGTTAATAGCTTGCTAGACCCGGCAAGAGCCTCCTGTATGTGATTAAAGTTCAATATACGGAGCAGGAGATTAAATTGTTTAAGGTAAATTACATCTGATTGAAAGTAAAACCATTTTTTTTCCATGCAGGCTGTGTCAGTCATAGCCAGGGGAGGTGTGACAAGGGCTGCATAAACATGAGCAGTAAAACATGAGAGGCACGATCTATACGCTAAATCTGCTTCATTAAGCTAAAGTTGTTTAGGTGACTATAGTGTTCCTTTCATGTTCACTGCTGTGCTTTGCCCCTCCCTTTAGCTGACAAATGTCTCCGCAGTCCTTCTGTATTATGCAGAGAGGCTGTGAATTATCATTTCTATTCCCCTCCTTAACTGTAAAAAGAAACAAAACAAAAAAAACACATTTCTAGATCACTGCAGTGAAAATTGTCATAATCTTAGGTACTCCATATGCACCCAAGGTTTCAAATGTTGGGCTACGTTTTTACATGTTTTAATTGGCTTAGCTAAAGTCAGCATCAGTCATATTGTGCAAGTTTATGCTCTGGTATGTCTCTGGTTAAAATTGTAGTGCCAACAACATTTGTAGAACTGCGTTCTAGGTATTTTTCCTCAGTGATGTGATTTTTTTTTTTTTTTTCACCCTGTTCTGCTCTGTGGCAGCTCTTTGCAGCAGCATAGGACAAGTAGGCAGATGCCTAACGGGACACAAGTATATTGTTAAATTGTTTGACTACTCACTCTGGGAGTAAGAGCATTCCTGGCACTATAACTACTACAGCAGGTTATAGTGCTTGGCATGTTTCTTTAAGTTCTGATCTACTTGAACGATGCCAATCGAGTGTCCAAATTTGGTATTAGGACACTCGATTGAGGTTAGTCTGATGAGTGAACCAGGCCAGGTTTACAGCTTGATTATTCTGGCAAGCTCCCTCTTGGTATCTTTATTGACAATAGTAACAAATTCACATTAAAGGATCACTATAGTGTCAGGAAAACAAATCGGTTTTCCTGACACTATAGTACCCTGAGGGTGCCCCCACCCTCAGGGTCCCCCTCCCGTGGTGTTGAAGGGGTTAAAAACCCCTTCAGTTACTCACCTTATTCCACCCCCGGGCTCCCTTACCTCTCCTCCTCCGCTGACGTCAGCTCCCTCATCCCCCGTCTTTTTCAATGCTTTCCTATGGACGCTCTGCGTGATGGAGGCATAATATGCCTCCAGCGTTGCAGATGCGCCTCTAGTGGCTGTCCAGAAGACAGCCATTAGAGGCTGGCTTAACCACAAATGTAAACATAGCAGTTTCTCTGAAACTATGCTTGCATCTGCAGGGTTAAAACCTGAGGGACCTGGCACCCAGACCACTTCATTGAGCTGAAGTGGTCTGGGTGACTGTAGTGTCCCTTTAATTGCCTGTCTCTATATTTTACTGCTAGTTCTTGCAGAGTTGAGTTAATAATTTTAAATTTTCATTCTGGCTTTTAAGGTTTTTGATAGAATGGTTTAAGTTTAATATATTCATATAAAAGCTTTAGTTTTTATATGCTTAATGAAGTAATTTTGCTGCAGAGACGCTGTCCCATTTGTGCAGAAATGTAAAGCATTGCAGTTTCTCTGAAATGGTAATGTTCCTTTTTAGTCATAACTACACATCTAGAGCTGGACAGAGTGACAGCCAGTAAAGCCATGTCCTAGTGAAGACTTGAAATAATTGAGTTTTCTCATTCTGCGTCATTGAGCCCACCAGGATGTCGATAAATAGAATACAAACAAAGAGAAGTATACACACTAAGAAAGTGTAGTGAAACCGTATAATAGGGAGAATCATTACCTGATTTCAGGTTATTTGTATATTTTCTATACATATATTGTCACGTATTGGGAGGTGTTTCCACTTTGTTTTTTAGGATGCCGATAAACACTGGGAATGCTTCTTATAGACAAGCTTTGGTTTTAGTGCTTCTCAATGCAAAGTGCTTTGGTACATGCACGTGACTGTTTGTGACTACACAATAGATCATGAAAGTGCACTGTAGTGGTTATGGTGCCAGGAGTGCTCTTCTTATTGTAAGTAGTAAAACCGTTTTAGTACAGTTTGACTTCTTACCTGGGGTCTCCCGGGCACTGCTCTCCATCTCTTCTTAGCCTGCAGGAGAACCAGGAGCTTCCATTAGCTCTCCTGATCCAAGACCTGCGGTGTAAAACCAGCTCATTGGCTGGGAGTATCCTGCATTGCAGGGTTTAGATCACACAGCTTGCCTGGAGGCTGCATGGGAGGTAATAAGCAGCAGCTGAAGGACTCCATTCTAAAATACAAAGAGCACTCCTGGCACCATAACCACTACAGTGCACCAACGTGTTTATAATGCTTTAAGTGTTCGGTTTAATAAGCTGCACTTCCAACCTACGAGGATATAAAAATAGCTGCCAGCAAGGTTAAGCCATGACTGAAAAGTCATCATACACGAGGTTATTGACTAAATTGTGAATTCAAAATTAATATGCTACGATGACTGTTTTAATGACAATGTGGTGTATTGGAGTATACCAATCTCCCCATTCATCGAAAAAAACCAAAAACAAACACTTGTATATTTAGTCTAAAGGTATGAGTAGTTTAGAGGACAGTATTACTAAAGCATGTGTTGATTCCTTTATGTAGAGGGTGTGCTTTGTAGTCATGGGTTCCAGGAAAGAGCAGAGTCAAGCTAGTGTCACCTGAGAGGAAAGGACTTGATATGGATGTTTGTGTTATTTATACATTTGCTCTTTGCTTCCTACATCAGTTTTTAATGCTGTATCACTTGATGCAATGCCAGATGGGGGTCAAGTGCACTCCCAGGGTTATTTACTAAGTGGGAATTCAAAGTGAAGGCTAGAGTAGTTGAACTGAAAGCATAGCTGACTTAGGAGAATTTTTCCAGTTTGGCTGTTTTGACCTTAAATTTGAAATTCACTTTGAATCTGCTTTGAATTCTGACTTTTATTGAATAACCCTGTCTGTATGAATTAGAATGGAGGAATTTGTAAAGGTATCAGATTTCTATGGGACTAGCACTGTACTCTCTCATATAAGATGTTGTTGGTGTTTGTCTTCTTCCATGGTTTCAAATGGGACTTGTGATACACAGGGTATAGTTAAAGTAATGAGCTGTAAGTCTCTAGTGAATTCTATGAAAACACTGGAATAATGCATACACTGACTTCTTATAGACTGTAATGGTAATCTGCCATCTGTACAAAAGATGTCTGACTAAGTTAAGAGGTTATGACCTTAACAAACTTCAAAAGTATTGACTTCCCCAAGTTATTCATCCACTATAATGTAAAATTATTTTTTTCCCTTGTTTCCTTCTGTGAGAGTTTGTAGAATACAAGGTTTGAGTAGGCCCCAGGCCAATTTAACACCAACTTTGTAAGACGGTGCCTGACCCTTTTTCCCAGCTACTTCCTTTCTTTGTGTGGTGCTGTTGATAGGCTGAGACTCGAGTCAACCTATTACAATATACATACCTTTTGCACTCTGTTTTCTACGTGGGGTGCCAATAAAAAGCTGAGAGCACCCGCTGACACTCTCAATGCAAAGGCGTGGAAAGAAGGAATTTTTATATATATATATATATATATATATATATATATATATATTATACACACACACCTATTCAAGAGACTAAAGTGGTATCGCAATCGACATGTCCTGACACAAAATTAATAATGAACATTTAGAGACCAGGAGATCAGGTTTTAGTGCAAGGCTTGACAAATTTGCTTTGAATCTAGGAGCCAGCTAAAAATGTTAGACCGGTTTTGTTAAACTAACAAAGCTTCATTTTCAACACCTAAAATACAATTCTTAAAGGGTAACAGCTTAATGTAGTGGTTCTGGTGTCTATATCCTGTCCGTGTAGGCTTTTTTTAGAGAAAAGGCAGTGTTGACATTGCTGCATAGTAACAACTGTAGTGCGTAAAAACGCCTTACCCATGCGATTGGAGGTTGGCCGGTAACCTGAACACACATTTAGAGACACACACTCACTGACAGGCACATTCTCTCTCAAATTCACCAATAATTATTTTGATTTAAATTTATGTCCACCCAGTCTTGGGAGAGCTGAAGTGGATCATTTCCTTGAGGTCCAGTGGGGCTTGTGTAATTTTTAAGCTTTTCTTGCTCTGCTCCCTCGCGCACTGTTTAGCGACGTGGGGGCCAGAGTGACATCATATTGCTGCTCCCAGTGTTTTGTCAGATTTCCTTACCCTCGTCACATCCGGTGAGGCGGACCAGCTGTTGCCTGTGCTACACATGCGTTCTAGCACTCCTGATGGGTAGGAAACTGATGCAGGTTGGAAGCGTGTGCAAGACAACCCCATCACTGCCAATGACAAGGCATCATCTGGAATGGTAACTTCTCGTCAGCATGGAGGGAAGTTAAGTGTTCGTTTAATTTTTTTATTTAAGTTTGGGGGGCGGACCATCTTGAAAGCGTTACTCTAATAAAAATCACTGTTTTCTCAAAATGATTTTTGATTGGAGTAACCCTTGAATTATGGTATTAAATTTTTTGCTCCCCAAGTGAAAATTTAGTCCAGAGGAATGAGACCATTTACCTCAAGTTACTTTTCACAAACCAATGATTTACACTGTAGTGAAAAACTCATGATTTACATTTTAACAAGATTACTCTCAAATGTGTAACTAAAAAGTTATTTCCATTTTATTTTTCTGATGTCAAACTCCATTGGTAGGTTTGTGATGAATTCTGTTATAGAATCCATAGGCAGCTAAGCAACGCATCCTATAATTCTTAGTATGCAGTCAGTGCTCAGAAATGTTTGTGTACAAGTTATTTGAGAGCTGATTGGCTGTGCATGGTGCTGCCCTATCGATTCACTTTAGTTGCATTGCAAGAAGAGGTTTGCAGCAGCAAGTACCTTTTTGTAAAAACAAAATAATTTTTTTTTTTTTTTGCATAATTTTAGACGTTGGAACTGTTAATATTTATTGTGCTATGGGTTGTTAGAAACCTTCCAGCCATACACAATACATTTTGTATAAAATATGCAAATATATTGTAAGGATAGACTTGTCAGTTTCGCTGGTTAGAGACGATATTCAGCATCTGATAATTGGTTATCGGCATTGTAATTTACCGATTATTACCAATTCACTCGCCTCTCCCATTCACCAAACGTTGTCTTCTGAATCTGGAAACTCTAGCCTCCAGCCATCGAAGTGCCATGTAGTGACCTTGCGTCACCCTTTTCTGTAAGTCCCCACATGCAGAGCTCAGCTGAAGGCAGGAAGGAGAGACGGTGAATAACCTACTATAATGTACTGGTCAGACTGACCGAGTGATAGGAGTGTGTGTGATGACAGCAATTCCACACCTATCCGTAACAGCAGTGTACATGCCAATATCCCACGGACACCAGCATGTACTGGCTACCTGAGAGTGATAGGAGTTTGATTGTTCAACAACTGTCTCCAAAGGTGACCAATAATCTCGAATGCATTGTGTTTTAATTAGTAGAAATATGGAATAAATAATTCACGTGTGAAAAATGATATATGCGAATGTGGGTTATTGCTTTACTTAAGGTTGAAGCTTTTTAGTACCCCAGTAGTTGACAAAATACAGGCAAAAATGTATTGTTCCTAAAAATGTAATCTTAACCAACTAGTATCCTCTTTGAGGTTTCCAGATAATCTTATAGGAAGAAATGCTACACACAGTGACATTGACTATTTTAACCCTTTAAGGACATGTGACATGTCATGATTCCCTTTTATTCCAGAAGTTTGGTCCTTAAGGGGTTAAAGCACCTGTCATGACATGTGATGTATCACATTTATGAATTAGGTGACATTTTTCTAGCGCATACATATTTACAGATTATTATTTCTTACCGCAAAGCCAATTATCTATCTTAAAGGTGTACTGCAACTGATTTTGTTCTTCACATTCCGTTGTTTGGAGTGCCACGTGATATGAAAATATTGTGGCATATTGAAGCCACCCTTTGCCCTCCTGATATTAGATGGGGGATCTATTCTGTTCTCAATTACTTAAATATGCTGTATTCTGGCTATTTTAAAAAAGAGCCTTTGTAGTAGCTATATGCACATTCAGATACAAGACACTGTTTTCATTAGTTAGTGAATTCATTGATATTATAACTTGAGAACTCTAAGGTCTTGGCATTTTTAGTCCTGCAGAGTTATGAGAAATTATCTATATTCCGGTGCAGTTTGACATGCAGTGCAATTATCAAATGCTCCATTATTCCTTGCATTTAGTTCATACACACTAGGCCTATGGCCCATGTCACTCTTCACTAGGATTGCAGTGACAATTATCCAAACATAGTAGAATTGCAAATGTTTCTGTGAATCTCGTCTGCATACCCTACCCCACTGACTGTCATCCATGTTTGCTAAAGTAAAAACGAAGGAATGTAAAGGTCACCATGATTTAAGAGTCTGTTTTTATATGAGGTTTTCTTTAGTGATCAGACTGTGGTAGACTCGGAGCTACGTGGGAATTTTTATGTTAAATTTAAACTGACTAGGGGGGAAGAAGGCTGCTGCCCTTCTAGAGATTCTTAAAATGATCCCCCATACTTCTCCGTTACATTTTTACGTTCAGTGCCAGCGTACACTATTCAAACGTTATTTTGAGTATCACGTAGACGAGCTATTTTTAAACTAGATAACGGGAATCTGAAGTGATTTAAATTTTCTTTTTTGTTTCTCTGTAGGTGCACTGACCAAAGTACGAGAGAGTAAGAAGCATGTAGAAGAAGGGAAGATGGAGCTTCAGAAAGCAAGTGATATCCAAGAACGCTGTAACATTATTTCCTATGCTAGCCTAGCAGAAATACAGCACTTTCACAAAATCCGAGTGAGAGACTTCAAGTCACAAATGCAACATTTCTTACAACAACAGATCACATTCTTCCAAAAAGTGACGCTAAAACTGGAGGAAGCTCTACAAAAATATGATGCTGCCTAGGAATGACATGGGGAAACCCTCAGCTTATTCTCCTCGTTTTGGGGATGGTATATTACCCTGGGGAAATATTCACCCCTACAACATTACAACCTGTTGCCAATAATTGGCGGTGGTACACGAATGGTCGTACATATACTATTTTTTAGTATACTGTGATGCAGAAATGTGGAACCCTAAGATAGTTCCAGCATAGCACATTTGTATTTAAATTATATTACCTATTCCTACACTACCATTGTACCAATTTTTTCTGGTGTATCAAGTATGCAAATTGCCTTATTGTTTTCTGAAGTATGTTGTTAAGGTGCATACACAAAAAAAAAAAAAAAGACTAACACGTTACTTCAGTTGCCTTTTTTATTCTTACACCTGGATTTAACATATCCTCTGTTTACAAATCTTCTACTTGAGCAACTGTTCAATTGTGTGCCTTCTTAAACTTTTTTTTTTCCAGTAATAAATTCATATTTTACCATGGGGGAATTGTTTATCCAATGTAAACTTTACAAGTCTGCTAAATATTGTTTTCTCCTCTATTGCCCACAGTGCTCTATTTTGTTAGGAAAACATGGGCTTCCGTGACATTATCTGTCCTGTAGACAAGGAGACGATGGGATTAACCTATTGTTTGTTTAGGTTACTGTACGCCCATGTCAGGAAAAGATTCACTTGTTACATAGAACTGTAAGACAACGCTGAAGAGGAACTGGCTATTTTAACATCAATAAGTGAAAATTCACAGGACAACGCAATTACGGCTTATTGCTCGGTACAGTCTTATTGGTTTTCAGCAGTTGTTTACTTGTATGATGGTTAGTGGATGGGTTAATGAAGTGTGCTATTGAAGTGTACGAGCAAGGAGCTGTTAACTATTTGATGTGACTCGAAAAGACACTTTAACTGGGATTTTGGAGACTCTGCAATCATCGATTAAGTAATGAAATAAAATTGCATTGCTGGCAATAAAGCACATATCCTTCTACAGACTAGTTTACACAGCACGTCTGTTCACATCTTATCCATCTAGGAGAGAGCAGTAGCATGTTAAAATTAATACTGTGTATGCATACAATTATATTTAATGCACTCATTTTATTTATTATTTTGTAGCCAATCTTTTCAGTTTTAATATTAACCTTTTCTGTGGAATATTTACATATTGACAATATCTAGTGAAATACTAGCAATTGTGTAATGCTGCATTTTGAGATATTGAAGCAGCTCTGATATATTAGTAACCCCTGATATATCATGGATACTTGTTGGATTTTTTTAATGCTTTATATTATTGACACTGGTCTTTAAATTCCTGAAGTTACTGTCACTTCCTTTTCTTAATCATGGAAAACAAAGCACTTGAGCTCATCTATTTTATTTTTTATTTTCTTTTAAATGATATCAAATGCGTCTTGGCTTTGTTACAAGGTTGGACAGCCTTTTTGTTTTTCTAGCCCATCACCAGAGGCAGAGGATAATGTAACTTGGAGGCAAAAAACATAAAGAAGCTTTTCATGTCACTCATCTCTTGCAAAATATCAAGAGTCGGCTTTACTTTTTTTTTTTTTTTTTGCCCTGGGGCACAAGTATTATTTATACATGTGCTGTATGGGACAAGTACTGGCCAGTTGCAAGACATGGGAGATTTAGCCACATAGACATGTATCTATTTGAAGTTCTAAAATGTACCCGTCTTGATAATGGACTTGTGCACCTTTTTATATGAATTCTGATCCTTAGTATACAAAGACACTTTTCTTCCTCCCTCAAATCCTGTTTATTCTCTGCCCCCTCAAACAAACTGGCCTATGTATGGATCTGTGATCTCAGTTTGGAGGCTTTCAGAGGTAGACCGAAGATACATAACTCCAAAGCTTGGAGCTGGTGCTTAACCATTGAAGATAAACATATCAATGTTTAGGTCCTGGACTCCTAGCTTTTTCATTTCTACTACTTTGCAGCAGCATCATCATCATCATCATCATCATCATTGTTCAGCATTTTTAGAAATAAAAAAACCTTGTGGAGTTAGTTGTAGCTTCTGTATACATTCTTAAATTTCTACAGTATTATCATGCTTTCCTTTTAAAGGTGCCTATTTATGACTTGGTAAAACTACAGGTGCATTATATAAATTCTGCTGGTAGAAGATCAAATTAAAACACTGATGTTATTTCATAGCACTGGAAGGAGTTTTAATGATTACATTACGCTTACTTTGACTTCTTAACATCTCCAACCCGTTACACTGTGTGATCAATACAATGTAGTTAAATTATCTGCTGGCAATTAAAAATCCAACATTGCTTGTATCCAAATGTTGCTATGCACGTCTTTATTTATAATTTTGCTTATGGTTTTCTTTTGTCTGCTTTTCTAACCATTTTATTTAAGGTAATGGTAAGTAAAGTCTTTTTGTGCAAAGCTGTTTGTTTTTCCCCCTTGTGTGTTTCTTTATTATGAGTTTGAAGCAGATAAGCTGTCTAAATTCTGTACCTGCATGCAGTTGCATCTTGCGCTGGTACGTATAGTTCTACCTTGCCTTCCGATTTCTCTTAACCTGCAAACTGTAGCTTCACTGCTCACCATATACACCTTATGATCACCTCATCTCAATGTACAACACAGCTATGATCAAACTAATGTCAAAATATTTATAGTAAATGACTATTTCACATTTATTGTATAACTGCACCGAAACATTTTTAAACTACTAGCAACTGTTGTAGAGGAAAGTGTGGAAAGCTGTTATCACAATCTGTGATTGTTAATTCACAATTTATTCATGGCACAAAATTGAGTGGATATTGAGCATTGGTGAAGGATATTGTGAATCTCTCAGACTTGAGAAATCAGCAATCCCAGCTACCAGTGAACTGCACTCTGCAAGAGCAGAGCTCATATATGCTCCTCTCCTCAGTGGCTCACACTTCACGTTTGGAATGGCTTATAGGCTGAAGTTGTGAGGAGCCACATAACAATGTGCCTTTCACCTCCCAGCAGGAAAAAACCTTGGGGCTCAAAATTGTAATTTACTGCAGCCATTGTTGAGTTTAGCCCTGGCAAGTAAAACTCAACTCCTGGTTAGGTTGACATGGATCTTCCAGGCTTGCAGTGGTGAGTACATTTTATCATTGATGATATCAGCCAAAGAGGTGGATCAGCAGCGTAGAGTACAGTGCAGCAAAGGCTGAACGTTAAGTAATACAAAAATACCAAAGGATACCGCAATTAAATTGGTAGAAAAGATAATTAAATAATGTATTAACACAACTTAATAAAATTAGATAAAGTATTAGTCTATCCCATACAATGTTAGATATACGTTGCAATGCAATGATTTCCCCACCATAATAGTAGTGCAAAAGAAAACTAAAGTGCTAAGTGCCTACTCACCATAAATACAATCCATTATTACAAAAGTTTAAAGTCACCACAATATAAAATATACAACACACTGCCTCCCCCATGATCCTTTGTAAGAAGCTAAATCTTTGGGTGGGGGGGGGGAGGTGGTGGAGGGCACATAGAAATCAGTAATCTGTGCAATCAAAGTTCATGAAGAGTGATCTAGAAGTCTATTAAATTGTCCCAATCTGTTATATGTAACTGTAGACCCCCCCCCCCAAAAAAAAAAATTGGGAAAATTTTTTTGTGTTAGGGTCCTGTAACGGTAGTATGATCTTGTCATAGCAGGATCGAGACAGGCAGATCCGGGGCTGCGCGCTCGAGATTTAAAGGGACACTCCAGGCATCCAGACCACTTCTGCCCATTGGAGTGGTCTGGGTGCCAACTCCCACCACTCTTAACCCTGCAAGTGTAATTATTGTCGTTTTTATAAACTGCAATATTTACCTTGCAGGGTTAAGTCCTCCTCTAGTGGCTGTCTATCCGACAGCCACTAGAGGGACTTCTGTGTTCTTAAAACACGAAAAGTGTTTTAAACTACGCCGGATGCCCTCACGCTATGTGAGGCCCTCCAGCACAATTCAAACACAGCCCTGGCCAATCAGCATCTCCTCATAGAGATGAATTGAATCAGTGAATCTCTATGAGGAAAGTTTAGTGTCTGCATGCAGAGGGAGGAGACACTGAATGTTTGGATGCATTTTAGGCAGCCATGACCCAGGAAGCATCTCTAGCAGCTATCTGAGGAGTGGCTAGTGGTGTTATCACTAGGCTGTAGTGTAAACACTGTCTTTTTTCTCTGAAAAGACAGTGTTTACAGCAAAAAGCCTGAAGGTAATGATTCTACTCATCAGAACCAATTCAATAAGCTGTAGTTGTTCTGGTGACTATAGTGTCCCTTTACCCTCTTACAAAAGATCATTGGCAGGCAGTGTGTTGTATTTTCTGGGAGTCCACACCTGAAGAGCTCAGCTGAAAGCAGGGAGGCGAGACAGTGAATAACCTACTATAATGTACTGGTCAGGCTGTATTTATGGTGATTAGGCACTTAGCACTTTAGTTTCCTTTTGCACTATTATGGCGGGGAAATCATTGCCTTGCAACGTATATCTAACATTGTATGGGATAGACTAATACTTTATCTAATTTTATTAAGCCGTGTTAATAAATTTTAATTTAATTATCATTCCTTCCAATTTGAGTGTGGTATCCTTTGGTATTTTTGTATTATGTGATTTTGGGTCTTTAGCGCTGACCCAGATACCGGCACGTTATGTGGGAGCACAAGTACTATCTAGATTTTTTTTTTTTTTGGTTTGAATGTTAAGTAATACCTTTCAAACCTTCACATGTGGGTCTCAGAACAGTTAGAATACAAACATGTTTTATTAATGTTTGTGTTCTTTTAAGCTTTATATATTGATTAGGAAACAGAGCAGCCTCTATACTGTACTTTTACTCACCCCTCTGCCTGTGATCATAAGTTCTGCTTGCTCTTGTTCCCTCTGCCCTGTAACCTAGTAGTGCAGAAAGATTACACAGGGAAAGAGGTTACAGCATGAACGATGGAATGTGTCCTCATCAGTCATCTAACTTTTCAAGTGTAAAGGACTACTCCAGAGTGGGTAGTGTTGATGGTCAATTACTATATGTACTTTAAACACACACTCCACATGTAACTACAGTCAGATTCTTCAAATTTATTTTACATACAGGACAATACAAACACCACAACACCTTTATATTGAGAGAGCACTCATTATATGCTTACCTTTATACAGCTCCCTTGCCGTCACATGTCTTGTACCGAGTGAGCCATCACAAATATATGTACACACCAAATGCCTGTCCACTTAAATCTAGCTCTTTATTCACACACTGCATTCGCACCATATATACAATCCATTAATGAACATATTGACATTCCATGTAACCACCAAAACTAAATTTAAATAAATCATGAGCTTATGGTGACGAGTAACTTTTAAAGTCGGGCTAGTAATTCAGTATGTGAAATTTTGAGCTCTAGTTAATGGGTTACCCATATGTTAGTACTCGCTAGAACAGTTATCAAAGCTTAACAAAGTGACACGTTAGATTTCATACAATTCTGGCTTTCTTGTAACAAAAAGTAGCATTTTTTCTAGACAAATGTCAAGGTGAAGTTCTTGCACAGAACCTTCATTAGCTCTATCTAGCTGGTGTGCCAAGCCCTAAAAAGCCAGGCTAGCTCAATTTCAGCTCTCCTGTAGGTGGTGACTGGTGCTCTTTTGGAACCCAAGCATATTGTGGGTGTCGGGACTCTACTGGCAGCATTACCACTACAACATATTGTAGTGGTTAGTGCTTGGAGTAATTACTTTTAAGAAAAACCTACAAAGAAAAACTTCTAAAGTTTCAGACCGCAATAAATTTGGGATAATGTTTAAATCGAAACATATTTTTAATTTTGGCTCATCCTACAGTCCCCACCTTTTCCCATTACATAAATTTCTGCCAACATTTCCAGCAGACTTCAATACTGCGTATGGTAAAAATGAAGCTTTCTGTTAGATACAGATGAGAAATGTAAATGTATCCAATTGCTGCTTGTTTTTTTTCCCAACAGCTTGGTGTACACACCTTGGAAAAATTTTATTATGACATTCAGACTTTTTTTTTTTTTTTTCTTCGTCATTTGTTAAATAGTCTTAATTCTTTTTGAAACTTCAGACCAGATGGAGAATCAGACTGATCGCAACATATCCTGCTTTCTGGTTAGTATATAGTTAAGCATCCCTGCTTGTGCACTCCAAGGCAGGGTGGCAAGCTGTTTCTCCTCCAAAACCACAAGCAGGAGTTTTATGTGCCTGCCAGTAAATAACCTTTGAAAACCTAGAAACGCATACGGAATGTTTCTGTTTCTTCCACGTTTATAATAAAGGATATTTCAGGCTAAATGCATGGAGTGTTATTCTGGGATTTATTAAAAAAAAACACATAATGGAAAAAGTTACGGCTATTTTTGTTGATTTACCAAATAGCTCATGTTATCACATTAAAGGGTCACTCCAAGCACCATGACCACTTAAGTGATCTAAAGTGGTCATGGTGCCTACAGTCTGTATGTTAAGCAGTTCAGCATGCATGAATGGAGTTTCACCACTCTGCGGCCAGAGGTGTAACTCCATCTCTGATGGCGTCATTGGGGTCTCATCAGCCAGCCTCAAACTAGAATTAATTGCACAGAATGGCATTCATTGTCTGAAAGTGGTCAGCTGATTCTCTCAGCCAGTTAATGGCAGCGGCATCAGCTTCAAAGCCTGGAATTTGGACAAAACACTCATTCATTAGAGTGAAAATTCAAAGTGAATTTCATGTTTAAGTCCAGAGTAGCCAAACTGGAAGCATAGCTGGTTTAGAGAATTTTTCCAGTTTGGCTATTTTGACCTTACATTTGAAATGCACTTTGAATTCTCACTTTAGTGAATAAGCCTAAATCTGACAGTGCAGCTTCACATTCAGCCTTTGTCAAACTCGAGGGAGGCGGAATGTAAGGTTGAAACGTTCACATTGTGTTTGCCAAATAATTACTAAGGGGTGCGGAACCTCACTTTCTTTTACCCAAATAATGTTGATCTACACAACAGATGACTGAGTGAAAAGACAAAATATATAAATATCCTGTCTCTCCATGGCACCTTTCAGTAAAAAGTTAGACAAAGTTGCAGATGTCAAATACTCAACAAGGTGATTTCACAATTTCTACATGTTCTGCACAAATCCATCAATGGCCAGTCTGCATTCATGGTTCCTAATAGTTCTAGGACCATTTACGTGATATAATTAACACAATTTGGATCTGTTGAATTGTTCCCTAGTTCTATTGACTTTTCTAGCCATTGAGATTGTATTCGTCATATTTATTTATTTATCCTTTTAACCCAATTTTTTTCCAATAATTTTAAACCAGAATTGTTCTTTTCTTGGAAGTAAGATATTTGCTCTGTCTCCCCCATAAATGCTGTTGCATCATATACTGTGTTCAACAAAGCAATAAGTAAGTTATGAGGTAAGTATGAAGAAAAAAAAAATGTGATTAACTCCACTTAACTTCTGTGTTATGGATGCCTTTACTGTGCCGTGATGCCTCGGGTGTGCGTTACACAATCTCTTCCGAAGAACCAGACATTCCTTCAGTAGGACTGTTCCTAAAATAGGCTGCAGGTAGAGCACTGCAGGAAATAAACATTTCTACCTTCTGTGCGCATCAGGGAATTTAAATTAAAGAAAGGAAAAAATGGGATAAGTGTGTTGTTTGTTTTAAAAATAACACAAATAATAGCTAGTATGTTAGCTGGCTATTTCATTGTTCAGAGACTTCACAACACATTACACTTAACACATTCATCTTAAAGCTTAAGGTTTATGGGACTAGGCAGATATTATTAGACCGGATACAGCAGGGCCAGATTACATAGGGGTTGATGGTGCAGCAGCTCCAGGCCCATGCCCACGGAATAGGCCCATTGCTAAAAAATATATATAGATATATAATTATTTTTTTTTAACTATTCTTCACATGTGGATGTAGGGAAACAAAATTAGTGTGGACTGGTTGCCGTTACGCACTATGCAAATGCTCTTGCTGCTTCAGTCTCTCTAACTCTGTGGCATGTTACCTTTCTTCAACACTTGCTACGTACACATTTTCTCTGTCCCAGACTGTATAACAGGAGCTTCTGCTTGCTAGTAAGAAGGTTGGGAGAGGAAGGGACCAGCGTGTGCTATTGGACAGTTCTTAGAAAGCGTGGAGCAAGCGCATCATTAGATGCATTTATGCCAAGCTCAGAGCACTGTGCATAGCATGCCCTTAGTTGGTCATCCTGCATGATTGGCAGATAGCCTGACACACATTCATACCAGGCTGACTTTCGAATTCCTTGGGCAGATTTTTGCCCCTTTGGGCGCTTCTTAGTTACGTGATTTGCGTGAATGGCCAACTCTTTTACTGCGCTCACCGAAATCCTGCTTCACCGGACACTGCTGTTAGTGGGTATGGATTGACTTGAAAGATTAAAGCGAGACATTTGCATCGGGTATGTATTTTCTTAAAGCTATGTCCTGTGAGTTTCCCTCGAGCACCACCTCTACCAGATACATGATGATTGGGAGGTATAACGGTTTTAGTGTTTTCTGTTGATACGATTCTATTATTAGGCCCATCATAATTGTCAGCACCAGGCCCAATGGGCTCTTAATATGGCCATGGGATACAGCAACATGTTGGCTCTAATAGAGCTAAATATAGATATGTATTGTGTGTAGATATATTTATATATCGATATATAGCTATTTCTCTTAAATATATAGATATATAAATACATATCTATATATGTATTAAATATATATTTAATACAATGTTAAACAAAAATCTGCACACAAGTCAAATCATGAGACTTGCTTTTCCCACAGAAATTACAAATATACAGTGATGTTACTAAAGGATTCTGGGTGGGCATATGCAAATTTGTTCAACAAAGAATCATATTTTTGCCTAATTCCATTTAAAATATATATCTACACTTTCTCTTCCTCCCGAATTTCAAAATACATTGCAACCCCACCCGCATTGTTACCACAATGTTTAGGTCAAGTTGTGCTCTAGACTCTAGATACAGTTAGAGCTCGGATTTGTTATAGATTTATTTTATTCACAGCTACGTAAGCGCCATATGAAGGATTTGGATATGCGAATCCTATCTCCAGAGGATTGATGTACTGTGCAAAACAAGAAGATAATTCTGGGAGTGGTTATTGGATTAAAATTGCATACATGGTATAAGAGGATATTTAGGTAAATTGGATCAGAACTTGAATGTAATGGAAAATGTGACTGTTCTTTGCCAATAATAGCCCAGCCAAGTTGCTGGATGCAGTATGTCAGAGTTTTAGAAATAAAAAGGTTTAAATTCCATAGTGTCCCAGTGCTTGAATAGGGAAAACAAAGAAGGGTGTAGGTTTCCTTCAGTTTATGATAACAAGAAGGAAATAACAAGATAGAAATGTGCCTGATAGTGCCGACCTTCACATGACAAGGCCATTGCAAGCTAATGATATGGTTTCCTTTGACCCAGTCTGCTGTTCAGCCATAAGCACTGGTTGCTTAACTTTCAGCTGCCCAGAACAATTGCAAATATATGAAATTAGAATTTTCGTGCAAGAAAAAGTGACGATGGTGCTTTCATAGTTCCTGGACGCCTCTAGGAATAACTAGTACTATTAGGCTGCCTCCCAAACATATGTCCTCCAAAATGTAACAATTTGAAAAAAATTTGTGAATTACGGGAAAATTAAGAGAAGTAAGTGCAGCAAAACATGAGAAATGTGAGTGAATGTGTTCAAAGTGCCAATCATTAAATTACGCCCTTAATGTTACACACTAGAAATGCGCCTAGTCTGTCTATCGGCAATTTTTGCCTTGGTTCTTACATCACTTTTCCATTATATTTATCTGCCTATTCTCTCATGCTTTCCACACTCACTCCAGGTGCAACACTGATCTTACAATCAGTGCCCTATCCCTAGGAATGCTGGAAAGTGAACTGGGCATGTCTGACAGTTACACATCTGCAGTTGGAAGAGCTCTTCACATTGCAACATCCTGAAAGGGGTAGAAGAGAGTGAGTCTGCTCAGTCTGATCATGCAAAACAGGCTCTGGTGTCTCTCCCTTAAAGCTGCTCAATGATGCCTTGTATTTATCATTAGTGGGCTGGTCTGAAACTGATATGAGTAGAGTGGGAAGGGGGTAAGGGGTGGGCTGAATAAACTCCCCTAGCAAGAGGTGTGGCCATTAATGCAATTTGACAAAATTTATAGTACGTTTACATACATTTATTACATACTTTTCAGTTTTTATTGCTTTATTTTGCTTTGTATATATATTTAAAAGTATTGCTTGGTGGTTTAAAAAAAATAGTTGTCAAGTGATGCATGTTTCTTAATGTAAATTAATTGGGAATGTTAAATGGAAGAGATTGGTTATCTTACATGGAATTCTTTCTTTTTTCCGACATTTTATTCTTCAGTTCATCACTTATGTATTTTTTCTTACCATATTCTTGAGAAAGGCGCTCGTTTAAGCGCCGAAACGCGTTAGGCTTATGGCCTTTTTAAAATTCACAGCACTTTTATTTTAGCACTTTTAGGGTGTTTTTTATGGGGAATAGAAGCCAGATTTAAGCAATGTTTGGCTAGGGTTTTGGTCTCCTACTTATTCAGTATTTATTAGCCTTCCTATACACAGGACTAGCAATTGATAGCTTTTAGTACTTATGGGCATTAGTATAGTGTAATCTATCACTTGACATTAGCTGCTCATTATTTTATGCTAGGAGATTTGCTATGTCTGAGTCAGTGGGACTAGAGTGTTCAGATGTATGTCTGTTTAATGCATATTTGAATTACCAGCTGTAGGACTTTACACTTATTGACTTCATCCTAGGGTCATTTGGAAATCGAACCAGTCTCCAATATAGCATCTATAGCTTCTTATATTCAGTCTATGGGTGACATATATGCCAAATAGGAGCATTTAACTCGCGGTATTGCCACTTTATTTGACCTCCCCTCCCGAGCTTACTGAACTTCATTGTTTCCTCTTTATGTATTTATCTTTGGGATAGTGGTTTTTTATTATTTATTTTTTGGTTTGTCTCTGTTTATGATGACTAATAAAATTATGGTTTTTATCAGTAATATAAAACTCTGAAATATCCTATCTGTGTATCCAGGACTTTTTTGCCCTAGGATCACTTTCTCTTTTGCATATTCTATAGAATAAAACAATTTAGAAATAAAATAAATAAAAGTTGATGATTCTATGAACTGAACCACATATCTCACAAACCCATTCTGTGCAGGGAATAGGAAAACCCCTCATAGAACAGAAAAGATGTTCCTGGTTTACAGAGCCTCATCCTTGCACAGTTGCTGTATGAAATATACGCTCTCTGTGTCTTGTTATTAATAGGAGAGAACCTGCAATCCAAGTACCGAGTGAGCAGAGACGGTGGTAGATGGCAGGAATTAGCAACAGAAGTGATCATACCCATCTTACATGGACAGAGACTGTCCCACAGAACTTCAAGGACTTTCTACTTTAGTCAAAATCCTAACTGTGACAGATATATCTTAAAGGGATACTGCAAGCGCCAAAACAACTATCGTTTTGGTGCATTGATCATGCTCCTTCAGTCTCACGGCTCAATTCTCTGCCATTTAGAAGTTAATTTTTTATTTTTTTTTATGCAGCCCTAGCCACACCCTGACTGTAACTCTAACAGCTAACATGGAAAATTATTTTATTTTCAATCAGCTCTTACAGGACAGTATGTTTACTTTGGAAGATCTTGTCTCCTACTCTGTTGATTGAACTTTGATCACACACAAGACTGTTGCAGGCTATTAACAGAGATACAAAATTCTAGATTAAACACACTGTGCAGTATGGTATCTTAAAACAATGTAGGCCCCTTTAAAGGAAATGTGTAAGGAGTAAGTCAGGAGATGTGTGGCTAGAGCTGCATAAACAAACATATACACCAAAACTTATTCAAAAAGCTCATTTTTTGTGTGCTTTTATTATCCCTTTAACTGTTGGGTCAGGAGTGAAAATTGAGTCCTCAATCATTGGAATAGGCTAATCATATTCATCTAACTCCAAGTAACAGCTGACCATTTTGACCTTTATGATACATTTTAGCACATTCGGTGTGGACATTGTTCATTTTACATTTTTAATAGCCAGTTAGTTGATTTTTGCACTCCTCTTTTATATATCTTATAGTACTATACAGTATACTTTTACTTATGTTCCTCAAATGTAACACTAAATACCATGCTTAAATGTGTTGAAATCAATATATTAATTAAGCAAGTTAATGAGAACATAAGGCCAGTCTGGTTTAGCTTGGATTAGTATAACCGAGCTGAGCAGGTTTTCCTCCTTGACGATTTAGCTGCTAAAATGCCAAAATTCCTCCTTGCATGAGGAGTTTGACATTCACTGTTTCCAACCACAGGCTGTTAAAGTAATGTTTATGCAGAGTTTAAGGGCTTGATGAAAATCATTCGATGTTGGGATGTAAGATGTTTAACAAAAGCTTTTGTTATAAAGAGTAATAAATCAAAAGCCAAAACCCAGTGCTTGCGATAGCAACAGCAATAACCATATTTTTTCAGTTTAGAAACTTTTGTGGAGTCTTTTTAGGAATTGTTCATAAAACAATTTATAGTAGCACCAATGCAAAGTAAAAAAAAAAAAAAGTGAACTAAAATATTTCCTCTCTTTATTCAATCGTTTTTCCGCCCAAGTTGGTAACTCTTCCTCATTGCATCATTTTGAAGTTATAGATTTTTATTCATTTTCAAAATCTATGCAGACATAGCTAAACTCTGACTATAGCTGAGGTGTAGATTATTTACAAATCAGTTATTTTGCCTACATTTTCTGATTTATTTTACAATTAATAACAATTTGTAGTTTAGCGCTGCATCTCCCCTTCTTTTTTTTCCTGTTGTACTTCAAAACAAAAAGTGGTCTGGGTGCAATGGCCCTTTAGTTTTAACACTTCAATCTATAACTTTGCAATTTTGCAGATACGGGCAATATTATGATTGTAGAGTTAACACACCTCTAGTGGCTGTCCTTCTGCAATTCAAAGTAAATCAAACTTTGTTTTCAGTCAAACGCTGATGCTAGAGCAACATTTGTCTGGCACAGCATTCTGAATTGCAGCTGATATGGACCAGGGTCCCAATGTTCCTCTATGGATTAGCTGAGATTATCACAATTGGTGGTCACAGCCAAGAAGGTGAGGTGACCGCTGTGAGACCAGCACACCACGTGCTATAAGGTAAATTTAAATTGCTTATTTTAACCCTTACTGGGTGGGTCCAATAAGTCTAGAGAGTTGTAAAACATTAGGAGTACATGTTTGTATATCTAATGCTACAGTGTTCCTTTAAGAATGATCATTGTATAAAAGAAAAATATTAATATTGTTGGACACAGGAACAGGTGGGGATGGGGCAGAAACATACCTTCCTTTGTGTAAGAGCCAAGTTGTAAGCATTCTGTCCTGAAGTCTCCCTGAGATATCAATAATTAACCCCTTATAAAGCAGGTTTACCAGTGATACATACATAATGACATAGCCTGCTTTGCCGTAGTTTAAAAAAAACTGATATCAGTAAAAGAAATACAGAGTGGACTGAAGTGAGAATTTAAAGGTGCCAGTTACAGCCGCCAGATGCTCCTGCATGGAGCTTACATTAGCTCCCCTGACCTAAACCTTGCAGTGCAGGACTGGCTTATTGCAAGCCAAGGTAAGTTCTCAAATTGTTTGAACACTTACCCCTTTGAAAGGGTGCTTGAGCAGCTCTGGCACTATAACCCCACAGCACAGTGTAGTGGTTATGGTGCTTGCAGTGTTCTTTTACGGATGAATTTTCAGTGCTCCACAAAATAAGTCTTATTTGGTAAACATAAAACCAATGCCATCTCCGAATAATTGCTATTGAGTTTTGAGTGTTCAAATTGAATTTTCATAGAGAACTAAATTCAGTGTACTATTCTTTACTCATTGGTTGGGATTCTGACTATTAGCCACATTGAGCTAATTCTAGATACGTTTCAGGATTATGGCATGAGCTTAGCACTTGGGTCCTGCAGATACCAATAACAATCTTATATTTAATGGTTTGGAGCATCTAAAGATCCATTCAGTATTCTCAAAATCTGAACGCAGGATGTGATGTACGCTCACACTCTTTTGTACCAGATAAAAATTAAATAGCACAATAAGCTGACTGTAGTCATTCTATGTCTTTGGAGCTTTTTGTGTATACCCAACCCTTATTTGACTTACATGTCTTCAGATTATGGAGATAAAAAAAAAAATAGGTAGCAAGAGAGGTGAGAACGGGCAACAGCTCAATTAGCCTGCCATTCGGTGGGTCCCCGCTTAGATCTCAAGCTGGTTTTAGCTCAACTTGTAACATTACAGAGAGAACATATCTGACACATATCAGACTGGTTCCACCCCATACAGGCAGTCCAGGTCCGAAATGCCAGCAAGTTCCCTCTGCATTAGAGATATGGCAACCCCAGATGATCGTTTCAACCTTGTAAGGTATCATCAGTGAGGTATAGCCAATATCCCTCTAGGCACCATGAGCAAGGGGTCCACGTCTGGATTACCCTTTACCCGAATGGGCAGGCTAATTGAGCTACCTATTTTTCTTTCCTTATGGAGATATATAGATGATATTTTTATGTATTGGTGGGGCACAGTTTATGCAATGTGACATGAAAGAGAATGAAAATAGTAAAAAAACAAGAACAACAACAACACACACACATACTTTATGCAAAATATTTAAATAAACCACGTTGAAAAGACCTGAGCTCTGCATCCTTTTCTTTGAATTTTATGTGATGGGTCAGAACACAGTAGTCTACGTTGGTGAAGTGAGATGAGAAAAATATATACATAAAACTATTTTTTAGAAATAGAAAACAGAAAATTGGTATGTGCGTATGTATTCATCCCCTTTGTTATGAAGCTCATAAAAAGCTCTGGTGCAACCAATTACCTTCAGAAGTCAAATAATTAGTGAAATGATGTCCACCTGTGTGCAATCTACGTGTCACATGATCTGTCATTACATATACACACACCTTTTTAGAAAGGCCCCAGAGGCTGCAACACCTAA